TATGCGTATACATTTATCTTTTATAGTAAAACGGGCTATTCAATTGGTTTCTCTTTATATTTATTATTCATTGAGAACATATGATCAGGTTCAACTATGGCGTGGCTGTCCGAAAGTAGTTGAAAATGGTGTTGGAAGAAAACACAAACTGGCCTCACTCCAGTAATTACTTTAAAAGATCTTTCTTCTAAAGCACTACTTGCTTTTTTATCTTGTAAGTACAAAGCGGCTTGTGGTAGAGCCTGCGGATGCAGGAAAGCACGATTGAGATGTTCAATGATTTGCTGTGTCTGCAATAGGAAGACTTGTGAAAATATCAGTCAAGTATACGATGAAGAAGACCTCGCTGCTTGATGATTCTTTATCGACTGCAGAAGGAGAGTCCGACGAGTTGAAGGAAATCAACATCGATTCTGAAGCTGAGGTAACCATTTTCCCCGTTGAAGATATGGAAATCAACGAGTAAAGTTCGTCTGGCCTTTGCCAAAGATAATTTTAGTACCTAAGTGGATTAGGCCTACAGGGGAAACCACGTTAAAAAAAACGCGCCGTGGACTTTACCTCTGGGGTGGTGTGGAAACAAGTATAGCATTTCAAATCGAAATTAATTGATCATAAATTATTAACATCTATTAATTAATAAATTAATCGATTAATTGAATAGAAGATATGCCATTATTTCGTGATAAATATTTACTAGGAACACACTCTATAGGAAACTTCCTCCTCTTTAATTTTGCGCTCTGCATACTTTTTCGAAAAACGCATAGTTTTGGAGATATTTGTAAACAAGTTAAAAAGTAATCGTAAACGATTTACAAAAAACGCATTTCCACTTGCATCCATTTCCCATTTGTAAGATGCAACTTCTGTCAAAATCGTAAAAATCCGGCCACAAATATGAAAGATAGCGTTGCACATGTGCAATCCCTTTTTGACGTGCTACTTCAATTTTAGTTTATAAGAAGAATTTCATTTCAATGCTTTTCTAAATAATAAAGTTTGAACTTCGCATGCGCAAATCTAAATTTTGAAACTAACGTGACATTTTCCTTTGTTCCAAACGCCTATGTATCAAATTTCATTTAAATGCTTCCATAGATAAAAAAGTTGGCACTGCGCATGCGCAAAACCAAACTTTGAAACTGGCGTTTGATTTTCATTTATTCCAAGTGCCAATTTATCAAATTTCATTCAAATACTTTTATAAATAAAAAAGTTCGCAATTTTATAAATGGTCGAGATGCGAAAAGGGCACTGTGAATTTTCAATCGATTCGACTCAACTTTTGGCATTGCGTATTATATGGCTAAAGCTATGTCCATATTGAATTTCATGCAATTCAGTTAATAACTAACGGAGATGTAAAAGCGATCGGACATTTCTAAACAAAGTTATCGTTCACACGGACAGATAGAGGGACAGACAGACAAATGAACAGACGGACAGACCAACAGACAGACCACAGACAGCAATACAAAATTATAAACGATCTCTAGGATCGTTAATCAACGGCAAAAGTGTAAAATTATGGAACATGTAAAAAAACGGTTTGTTGGTTTTTGTACAATAACTTTTTTAGCAATAAACGCAGAAAAAAATTCCTTCCTTGGTGCAAGCCGCGACACCATAACGAACCAAATAGCGAAAAAAGTAGAACAATAGCTCTTAAGATAAAGAACTAGTAGCGTGTCAACGAACGAGCCGACGGCGGCACGTCTCGGATTGTGCATTTTGTGAATTTTATTTATAGATCTCAAAACCTATAAACCTACAAAGTTTCAAAACTTACGGACTTATTTCCAGGTAAAAATCCCCAATGACTGGTCTAAATGTAAAATTAGCCTTCGAGAACCTACGGCTTATTTATTGTGTAACAAACATAATTTGGTAGCGGAACATGGTCATGAGACCTAAAACGACAGAAAAACGACAAACTGCACAACGACTGCCTGCAACATGAGGTCGAGGCCGTGCTCCATGCATCTAGAAGCTTATGATAATGTCGCGGAGTTGGTCGCAATCATTGACCAGGAAATGGAGATGTACCAGTTTAGAAATGTCCGAACATTGAGGAGGAGCTTATTCCGCATTCTGTCGAAAAACAGCAATCGTTGTTCATCCATCATAACGACGTGTCGTGTTCTTCATGATTCAGGTTTAGAGCAAGTAGGAAACCGATCTACGTCGGCAGTCGTTACCTTCGTCCATTTTCCGAACACCAACTCCGCTCATCCGGTTGCAGCGGATTAAGAAGCAACCAACTCCTTAGAAGCTAAACCTAGAGCCAAACGGTCAACCGTTGTCGCCGCCCTCGGTCTTACAGGCATCAAGAGAAAAAAATAGTTCCATCCAGCCGAGCCTGTCATCTTAGCCGCCGTTGTATGTGCAGTCCAGCTTGTAGCATCAAGCAACGTATTATTCCTGAAGCAGCTCGTAATAAAATAATAAAAAAAGATTTATTTGAGGCATTGATGCACAGTGCAACTATGACTCCCATCAAGTTCCAGCGGTTGGGACAGTAAAGTCGTTCATCCATCAAGTGCCCGTATCAACTACTAACTATCAGTTTGCATGACGGACTCTTAAATAATCTTATGATAACCGGCACTGCAACGTATCAGCACATGCTTCGGCTTTATTTGATTTGCGATCGCCAAAGGACGCATCGGAGTTGCAGCGTGTTCTTGGCGAATTCTGGGTGGATGGAAGGCTTTGCAGATAATCCAGGATTGTATTTAGTTCAACTTCTGATTGGCAAATTTGTTCATGCGTCAGAAATAGTACCTCTATAAAGGATAGCGCTATACGTAATTAATGTGCTGAAAGTGATGGTAATAGATGGTACGTCCTTTTGAACTATGTTGGCGTATGGCTGTATCTATGTATTTATATATCTATGTTTTTGCCTCATTTTTGCCCAGAGTTGCCAACGGTAAGTATAGGGTAAGTCAACGTTTTCAGTGTCGGTTTGAGAGGCCCCGAGGATCATTACATATCTCATTTACATTTTGAATTAATTAGATTATATTGCTGTTGTATAGAAATTTAGTTATTTGTGCATCGTAAAGTAGTTTTTCTTGGTTAACGTCACGTTAATTCTTTTATACATCGATTTGTACGTACAATCCGTTGTCGATCAAAATTGTCATATCATTTGAATTATTGATTCTTATTGAGTACTAATTACGGTTTTAGTGTACCATTTACCTGATTAGCATCAGACATTGCTATACCGCAATATTTTGTGCCGCGCTATCCACTATCCCTCTTGTTTGCGTTGTTACCTGTCACAGATAAAGCGGAAAGCGCACTTCAGAGCTCACAAGGCCGTTACTGAATTGAGGTTAGATCAAGTCAATTTGAAAAATACAGACGGAAATTTATAAAAAATAAAAAAATGTTGCATATAAAACACGAATAAATTATAAAGAAATGCAAAGATTACTACGTACATTAATGTGTAACGCAATGTATATCCTGCGCTTGTCCTTGTAGCATTGAATCTAGAAATATAACACTTGTAAGGTAAAGAGAATGCGGTATGAACATCATCAACGACATCGAATACGCAGTTTAATGCTAATAATAATATTGCACAAACAATGCATCTTAAAGTTACATCTATTCTATAGTCAATGACTCATGTTTTCCGAAGAAATACTCAGGGAAGAAACATTACTGCGCCTCCCCGGATTTACTCCCAAATTTTCCCAGTTAATCCATGAGAGTCTTGCGGTCAAGTCTAGAACAAGAAAAATCTATCAGTTAAAATAATTTGTGACAAATACCAGCACCACAAGGGATCATTCGCATTTACACAGCACAGCTGTTTTCCTCACGATGTTCGACAATGATAGCAGCTGTGTCATGAACTGTTGATGCTTCAGTTTGGCCTACGTGACTGGTTAATGGGATTGAGTGGTCGTATCGCAGTTGGTCGATTCAAATCTCCCGTCCATGAATCTCGGTGCCATAATCGAAATCGAATTGAAGGCCACCCCAAGTTGGCGAAGAACAATATTGATCATTTTTTACGGTACTTATGTAATCTTATGGTATTATATACTGCAGTATTCATGAAAATATAACGTACCACTTGTATTCCAATGAGCTCTATCGGCCTTGATATCACCTCTAAGACAACGCTCGACGTATGTTAACGGATCACAGTCAGCTGTAAGCACTTCTCTCAGTAGAGCTATGTAGGCAATGGCCAGACGCAGAGTATCAATCTTGCTGAGTCGTTTTTCGTATGGAAAAGTCGGTACGTGCATTCGAAGCTCGTCAAAAGCAGAGTTTATACTGCTGCAAAACAACATCGTGTAAGTGTTAGAAAATAATTAACGAATGTCACCATTTGTATATGACAACATTTATTCTGGTACTTAAATAAAAAACAACGGAAAAAATAAAAAAAACGTAAAATATCTACCTAAGTCTACTATGAAGAAAAACTAGGACACATGCCACATATCAACACAAATGTACCCGGTGGGTCCAATAGCAGACCTCAGCATCCTTTTCCGTTCTCGGATATTCGCAGCATGCCGCTGTATCCTGTATGGTGAGCCTCCATAATATTCGGAAGCCGATAGCGAACTGGCTGCGCACTGGGCGTTATCTGTTACAAAGAGAAATGTTGTTATGGAGTGGGGCTAAGGTTCTGTAAACAATTTTGATTAGGATGTCACATTTGGGGAGAAAATAATTATTATCTTAGACCAGCACCTAACTTCCTAACTGTTACCAATAGAACAATAATAGAGGTGGACGAGTCGTATGCCTTCAAACTTGACTTGTCTCTTGGACTTAATCAAATACATAAAAAGTTGTACTTGTGCGCACGGTCGCTTTGCCGTTTTTCGAAAATTTGGTTTTGGATTCGTAATTTGTGCAACAATGGACAATTTACACATATACCGTCTTCATAGCGAACACGAACAAACGTATGTCTAGCGATAACAACACGTATTGGGGAGACCGAGCGCGGTTGTCACGATCTCTTCGGACCCAAAAGTTACGTTCATTCCATTTGAGCTGGTTGACAAAACCGAAATACGGGTTTTCTATTGGCTGTTAGGGTAAGCCAATGGAGGTCATTGCGTTCAGAAAGGAGGACCCATTTCGGTTTTTCTAAAGGGCGAGGTTCACATAGCGAAAGTAATGGGAGAGCGAGGATTTTTGCTTGATTTCGCGAGTATTATTGTTCATGATATGTATGTGAAAAAAATTGTTTCTCGGTCGACTTTGTGTAACCCCACGCGTGTCCTTATCTTTATGACCCGCACTTGTCCGTGACCAAATTAACTTTTTTCATCACTCTCGCAATAGTCGCCCGATCTAACGATAACTTAATCTCCTCTTATCGCGCTCCTAACTTAACGCTTAACGCCTCAAGTGTTGAATTTTAAACCGTATTGCTTCGCGGCTACCATCCGAAAACCTCCCTCTTTTAATCCCTACTTTTCCCAATTTTACAATCACACCTTCAAAATGTTGCTAATCGGTTTCAGCAGACATTTTTATTCGTTCAACCAACAAAATTCAGCGTCTTTTACCAATCCAAAGTTTAGAAAAAAAGCAATTTCCAAAAACTTCGGCCGTTAAAAAGCCCGGGGAATCAGTTTTCATGCTGCGTCGTGAAATGGATTGAACTCATCAGGAACCGTCACGTATAACCCATTAATTCTACCTAATTTACCGCAAGACCGGCGCGACCCACTTTCACACGTAATTAATCGGCCCTGTATACCCCCGTATAATTCATAATGCTCAATCTTTAAAACAGCACACCTCTAAATCAACAACTCTACACTCTTGATTTGAGGAAACCACCACTAAAATCGTTCTAACCGCCAAAATCTAATTAAATTCGCACCTACACCCAATCACAAATCTAAAAGACAATGCCAAAAAATTCAAAAATAGATAAATACAATTAAATGGCTCCCGTCATAATGAGCAGGTACTTCTTACTTACTGTGCTTTTTATTTTCATAATCCAGACACGTTTCCATAATTTATCTCTTTTGCTATAGCTTCTGCTGATAAAGTAAAAGATAAATTGCGGTCCTTGCCAATGTAACGGGAGCCAGCTCCGGGTTTAAATTTTTTAGATTTCTTAGCCCTGACACACTTGACCGTGTACGAATGTGTAAAACTGGAAATGTGCCGCTTTATACGAATAGTGGGCGCGAGTCGGTTTAACGGCGATAAGCAAGTTTATTTAGAATGAGTGGATTTTTAGCAGGGATATCTGTTGCGTCCCCAAACTAGAATAAAATATCCTTTCGTTTTTCCTTAATGAAAATACCCTGTACATAACCGTTTTGCCTTGCCTGTATATATTCCTATTTGTTACGTGTGCGCGCATGAGCCGCAGAAGCGCAATATGTGTACTCGTCGCGCAGAATTCGTCCGATTCTTCGCTTAGAAGCCATCGACTCAACTACGTTGAGAAGTCGCCGTTAACCAATGGCCGATTAGCCTTCGTCGTTCGCATATAGATCTCGATCGATCCCCAACGGGTCAAGATGTCGCCGTGCAGTTCGCAACATCGTTATTAACAAGCAGAACGTCAAAGCACCGCACATCAATAAGAAGATTTCGTTGTAACAAAATCGACAAATTTGACAACTTCGTAGAATAGAGCAATCTTCGCCATTGCAACATCGCCTTCGTTGTTAATGGACTTCGAAACAACACGTAAGTTCCTTTGTTTACATTATCCCTTCGTAACTTTACCATATTCTGGTAGCCGTCGTGCCTACGTCAACCATATTCAATAGAAATTCATTTACTTTGTATTTTTTATAATAAAAACACGTTTATTTATGTGTCTATATTCTTTCATTCCCAGCATAAACAAGGCCTTGGAAGTAATTCATAATTACAGTCCACTTACAATCAAATTCTTTGTTATCGAAGCCCCCTTGTACGGTACAATATCAGTGAACCGTCCAGCTTCGTTGGTTCCCTTTTGCATAGGCGAACGAGAATGGGGGCTTACGATTGGTACACAAGAGACGCTGGTTGCGAATTTTGCGTTTGTGTCGTTTTAAGCCTTCACGGCGTGATAGAGGAAAAGGATGTGACAGACGCGCAACGAGTAAGTACTTGTTGAAAGTACAGATTCTACCATAGAATTTTTTTAATCGCGGAAAAAAGTATACAATAGCGAAACCACGAAAATTATCAGTGAGGTTAATCAAATTTCGAAAAAGCCGCGGAAATCACTAATACGGAAGTATTGCGAATTGAAGTTCGTAAAGCATTGTAAAATACACCTAAAGTGGAATTGTATCGGTGTTAGCGCGCACGGAAGTTCAATTGTGATTGTGAAATAAACATTACCAAAAGGAATATTAACGCGGTTAAATCGTGAACGTAAGCTTTCGTGGAAAAACAAATTAACTGGACCTTTCGTTGACCTCATTCTTGGGAGATTATAGTAATGGCGAGTTATTACTATCATTATCAGTAGTTGACTATCACAATAGAATCAAAAGTGTCGTTTTGTTGTTTGGAGACGCCAAAAAGACGTTTATGTTTCTATTCTAATAATGATAAATCAGTGTTGGGAATTGTGCACGGAATTGTCGAATTAGTTTATATAATTACAAATAGACGTGCCGGTTAATGAATGCTAGTGGCGTTTTCGTCAACGAAAAACTATAATTTGAAAGCGAAAAGTTAATCAGTTTCGGTGTTTGGCCTTGAACTCGTTTGGTCTTTTAAGTAGTCTTAATGGCGGAAGTAAGAAGCTAGGTTGAAGGCAGTCGATATAAATCTAAAAGTTCATTGCTCGATTATTTCTTTACTAAATACAAAATGTAATCGTAAAAGGCAGATTCAAGAACACTCCTCAAGATATCTAATTTTATCATTTCTATATTGTCCAGCCGCCATATTTTCAAAGAAGGGCCGCATCATTTGTACTTTAGGGAAACCATATTGATTCTAGAAGACACTTTAAAGAATCTCGCGTATTTTTTTGATTTGTATAAAAGTTATGATCGGTTCCTTTTAGGAAATTGCACTAATTTTTTTCTTGAAAGTACTCAGGATATTCCTAAGAAATCCATCAGAATAAATTGATAGCATGGATCGAATTTGTATCATTATTTGATCGTATCTAAAAGAATCTTAGTTGTTTGACCAGACCAGTACCTATACCGAATCTAGATCGAGATTCACGACAAAGCAGTCTCAGTCTCAAATTGTTGATGCGACGACTTAACATAACTTAATTGCTCCCTTGAATAATTAATATCTGGGTAAGAAATCTGCTTACCATTTCCATGGTGAAGGGACGTCAAATAATGGTGTTGAATGCTGTTGCTTGAAGCTGCCCGGGTAGCGAAAGCGCAGCTAGGTAAATCAGATACTTCATCTTCTGACAAATCGCCACCCCCATATCCTCCATACTGCAGACTGAAAATTAACAATTCTGTATTAGGTACTGTACAACAAAGTGTTGATTGTTAAAGATAGTTTGATATTCTTTGCAATAACATCCAATCACATGCCTTTAACAACACTGTTAGCGGACAACATAATTATTTAAGTAGGTATTATCATTGAATAAAAACACTATAAGAAGCCTAACGCTTATGGAAGAAAGCGCGACAAATCTCACAAATCCCCTTGCACCCGCATTGGTTGGGACCGCCGAACTCTCTTTGCGGTAAATAGGAGGAAAGCAAATTCTCATTCTTCTCAGTTCAAGAATCGACTCTATTGACAGTGTTCCCATTATATTCTCAGTTCAAACTCTGTCGCGCTTTATTTCCACGGGGTTAGGCTTCTTATAGTGTTTTTATTCAATGGTATTATGCTTTATCAGAGACTTGTTATAACCATATATATAAGAGAAGTATATGGATAACCGCCTATGATTGCAATGTGCAAATTGTTCGCCATAAAAGAGAGCTGCCCTATTCCTTAGTCCTGAACTCTGTACTTATGCGCAAACTCCCCAAGTAAATATTTACTTCTCTCCGCCTACTTTTAAGTAGCGCCAATTTCAAATTTCATAACCTATAACTCGAAAATAGGGTTAAAATTTTATTAAACCATTATTGTGTGTAAATACCATATGTAAACACAACCACGCACCATTCGGAAACTTCACCCAGACTTCTATTCGCTTCATGCAGGTTCATATTCACCACATTGGCCCCATTCCACCTGCCGACTCCTATCACTATTGTCTGATCCTGTGATGTCTTTAGATAAGTATACCTACTAGCTGGCCGAGGCACGCCCTCCCAAGACCAATCGCCGCCGAAGCGTTTCTTACCTGTTGACTATATCGCTTCGATTCCCCTACTAGCATCTTCACCGATCAGCGACGACAATTTGAATCTTCCCTTTTTTGTGCCCTCAACATTGTTTTCGGCACACAAGGATTCGGGACCTGCAGTCAATGGCCTACTTGAATGATTTCACTGCCAACTCAAATCAGCGCTCACGTGCCACCCAGTGCGTTCTGGTTCAAGGTACTCCGTATCGTTCTGCTTGGAAACTGTAGCATTTTCAGGGAGAACTTTCGAGCTTCCTCAGCGGAGTTTGTTTACGGTTACACCCTTCAACTTCGAAGGCAAACTTTGTAACGATTTAGAAACTTAAATTGCAATTGAAATAATATACCTATACCTATAGGGATTATATCTTGAATATAACTTGAAATTGGATAAGTTCGCATCAGCTATAATATAAAGTGATACATTACCAATGTTCAAAGAAACACAATTAAATTAAAGACATTTACTGATTTTAAAATAAAATTAACATTGTCGAGTTGGAAATCTTTTAGGTGTTAGTGACCCCCATATAACTTCGTGCCCCCATCATGCTTGCGTGCATCCAAATCAATGCAGTCATAGCGGTTAAAATGACGAGAACACAACCTTGTTTTTACATCATCGAATTCCGATAGTTCACATGCTTGCAGTCACCGATTCTTGTTGCTTTTTTCACTTGGGAATCTTATAACAAGTATGGCATAAATGAATTGATAGCAGATAATTGCATTGTAACTTACTTGTGCCATGAAACCGAAGAATCCACTTTCCCACAAGTACCTGCATTTCTTTATTTCTAAGTAATGAACACACTAAAATTGCCAAACATTAGGTATTCATTTACAATTATTGTGTATCACTTACGTATACTGATTTATATAACTACGAAAGGCTTCTTTACTATTAAAATTAAACAAAAGTTCAATAACTCATAAACTAAACAAACAATTTAACCTCAATCCGTTATGTCAAACTGGAGTAAATGCTTGGTAAATAACACTACATAATAACAGGCAAGCGCATTAGCGCCTAGTTCCCAACTAATGACAGAAGTATATTTCCATCCACTAACGTTGGCGATAGGCGTGTCCACTCGTTTATCCATATACTTCTCTTATATATATGTTATAACTAGACGGCGCGTAACGTAGATTTTACTATAAACGCCTGTTGTCAAGATAGGATAGGCAACCAACTGTTCATCGCGGGGCAGACGTACGTTCTGCGGCTTGCTTTAGCCATGTTTATTGTAAATTTTAGTAGCAAAAAAAGATAACATATTATAACTGTTAACTGTTTTAATCGAATTTATTGGTATTTTATTTGAACTAAATTGGTATATAACTGCCTTACTCTAGTCCTAATTTGATTTATATGTGTATTTTGGTGGTGAACACGTATGGAAAAATATACTCTTAAAACTAAAGATGTAGGTAGTAAGATATGATTATGTAGCGGATTTTGATTCAATATATGCCTATTCAAAAACCCAAATGGGCTGTAACTGTTATTTATTTTTCTTAGACTGCTGATAACCATTTTGTTTACAACGCGGTGTGGTGTGGATTGAATGAAAAACCTGAACACATTTTCAGCAATTTGGAAAATTTTTAATACATCGCTTGATACGTGCAACAATCCTCCACGATTTTTTCTAAGTACACTTTATTCCGTATAACTTCCGTTGCACGTCATCATTTCCTGTGACGTAATTACTATGCAATAATGCCAAATCTAGTTTTGAACGATTTAGGTTATGTCACTTGTCAACAAGACAGTGCATTCTTTGTGTGAACAATCCACACCTTAAATAAAATAAAAATAATTTTTATTATTCATTTCGTTAATTGAAACCACAATATACATACAATATACTTTAATAACTTATGAACTGTACAAATGTAACATCTCTTTTACAGAGAAAGTACTAAATATAAAATTTTACAGGTTATGTGATGTGATGGATGATATTCAAATTAATCGGAATCATCGGAACTGCTTTCGTGTTCAAAGTTTATAATAATAGTAGCAACGTTTTCAAGATCTAATTGCTTTTCTCTTTCGTACCACTCGTGTATTACAGTTTCCGTATCCTTAACTGAATTGCGCCAAGTTTCGGAAGTTATCGGATGTAGTGTTTCTTGTCACATGTTTATGCAATTTTCAATGCTTCGTCCATCTCTACCCATGTGTCGATTGTAGTAATTTTTCGCTATGCCCCAAATATGTTCGATAGGATTAAAAACGCGATGATAGGGTGGTAATCGTAAAACGAAGGAACCGTATTGCTCGGCTAAGTGGTCAATGCGTTATGCGGTACATTTTAGCCGATTTATTCCTAAAAGTATCAACAAGATTTAGATAATACCAAATAATTTGCGAACGTACTTACTGTGCAACCTTTTCAACAGTTCGGCTTTAAAATCATTTTCGGAGAACACATTATGATCTCCTAACCACACTTTAATGTTGTGTGTTTTCCCGTTATCGAACACAATTACTGACGGGTTATCAAAATTCTTCAGTAATTACTCTTCAAACCAATGCACAGCGAAAGACGTAGAAAATAATCAAAATCAAATCAAACGAAAAGTAAACCAAAAGCAACCTGTCAAATTTATAAATTTAAACGCGACAACATAGCGAAATGCTACCAATTGTTGCGGCCAAAATAAAGTACAAGCTTAATGTGTTGCCTAATAAACGAAAGTAAATTTACGTTGGTACGTCGTTTTCTTCAGGCAATGACGTGCAACGGAAGATATACTGAATAGACCGTAGTTAAAAGCTTTGAATGACTCTCTGATGCGAATATCGCATCTGCACATATGGAACATTTAACAGACTTAGCTATTTTTTTTTTGTAGAAAACCTGAAATATACTCAGTACCAGTAAGTACTTATTTACGTCTATACCTAATAGGCAAATTGCCGTTGTCTTGCTGGTAAAGGATGTCGAATAGTTCTACGTTATTTTAAGTGAATGTGAAAGTCGAAAACGCTCGGTATTGCATTATTGTAAAATCGGCTTCATTCCCCGCAAATGCACTATGGTGGGAATAAATTTTTCTCTTCGAATGGCTCTGATCCATTGGCCCTTTAAACTTTTATCCGTTGAAAATCAGCATATTATTTAAAAATTTATCGACAGAGTACATGTTGATAGGCACAAGTTAACCTAAGTTATTGGTTTATTCTCAACAGAAATTTATCTGTTCACTAATTCGAGCTAATCACGAGAATGATTAATGCACGGAACATCTAAAATAACAGCTTATTTCATTATATTGCATATCATCTCAGCGATTTTTGCCCCGCGGTGCATTGTGTGTTGCATACTGTGTCGACAACACCTTAGATACGTTAAGCGCAGTCTAGTTATAGCAAGTCTCTGTGCTTTATAATATCAGCTAATGAAGTATTGGTTTCGATTTAAAATAGGTTGAGTCAAGTGATCGATAATATGTCAAATATATACAGGCTGTTACCGTTACGTAAAAGTATTCAGGCTTTCATTGATAAATTACATCTGAAAATTTGCACACCAACATAGCTTTTAGCAATTGGAAATGCTTGTTTTGTAATGGTATGAAGTTAGCCGTTTCGTCAAGCAGAAAAGAAGACAGTAGTGTTTATTGTACCGTATTTGGCCGCAATCGGTAGATTAAAGAAACGTCGCGGATATACTATCCATACGGTACTTTCTTAATAGTGCGCAATGGTTTTCTTAATTCCAATCTAAAATTCTCGCACATCTCCCGTGATAGTAGTACAAGCATGTTACGATGCTTATTCGGAAAGTTTATAAGGGGAATAAGGGGTATTTGGCGTTAATACGGTTATAATTTCTAATGTCTCCGATGGTTGCATGGATTGCGAAATCTGTGAATGTTTTTTATCTATCGAAAGAAAAGTATAAAGATCGTGTCGCCTCTAGTTCTACCGGATGTCGATAGCAACGTTCTTACCTTAAATAGAATACCCTATATTTTATTGCATATTCATAATCTACATGAAAATCTACGTCGTTTGATACTACATTTCCCTATATCCAGCATCAAATGTTTTCAAGTTATTCAAGATTATACAATATTTTTGACGTTTGAGTGCTATTCTTTTGAGTCCTGTACCGAGGCCGGGACATTTCGCCGAATGCCCACAACGCCGACACGATTTTTTGAAGGTCCATATCGCCGACTAGGGGCACTACGCCGACGGACACTACGTCGACAAGTGTGCAAGGGACACAACGCCGACCATGCCCACTTCGCCGACGGACACTACGCCGACCGTGCCCACATCGCCGACAAGTGAACAAGGGACACTAAGCCGAACGTGACCATAATAACGTCGACTCATACAACACTTCTTAATCAAGCTGGACGGTGTGCAACACCAAGTAGCTTTTGACGTTAGGTTATTGTAGGTTCAGAATATTTTTTTTTACTTTTTTCGAACTACAGACTCATACGAAAATTCTTAATCAAACTGGACGGAGTGTGAAGCAAAGCAGCTTTGGATATTAGGTTATTTGTAGGTTTAGGACATGTTTTTTAAACTTTTTAAAATGCAAACTCATACACTGGACAGAGTATGAGGGGCCTGGATTTTCGAACAGTCGGCGTTGTGGTAACGTTCGGCTTAGTGTCCCTTGCACACGTTTCGGCAATGTGGGCACGATCGGCGAAGTGGGCATGGTCGGCGTTGTGTCCCTTGCACACTTGTCGACGATGTGGGCACGGTCGGCGTAGTGTCCCTAGTCGGCGATATGGACCTTCAAAAAATCGTGTCGGCATTGTGGGCATTCGGCGAAGTGTCCTAGACCCCCTGTACCTATGACTCCGTTGACTTGAATTTCAAAAAACATTCCAAAATCGACAGTACTGACTCGATGATGCGGGATAACGATTCAAATTTTGATCGCCCTTCTACAGGATATTTTTAAAACAAATCGTCAACTTTAAAAACTTCAAACTTCAAATCTTTGATTTTTCAAATGGAACATGTTTTATTTTTTGCACTTTCAAATTTCGAAAAAAATTTTACATCGATCATTTATTATATTCCATATTATTTACATAACTCTTATACTTTCGGTTTCATTTTAGATTTTCTAAGATTATGACTGTGCATAATTGTCTTAGGAGGCCTTGAAATAAATGCGTGTAGATGTTATTGTATACCGATATTACATGAAGAAAACAACTGGTTTCAAGATGACGATTCATGATGCAATTTATGTTTGTTTTTTTTATTTTGACGTTTATTATTATTACCTGTTTCTGTTTATTATGTCATCTTTATTTAACTTTATTAATTGTAAATAGGATTATTTTCATTTTTAGTGATACACAAAGTACTATCAACGAATATCTATAACAAAGGTTTGACATGTCTACTAAAGCATTTATTTCAAGGCCTCCTAAGAAACTTATGCACAGCGGTCACAATTTTAGAAAATCTAAAATAAAACGAAAAGCATAACAGATAGGTATAGGCAATGTAACACTAGTAGGTTGATGTAGAATTTTGACATTCATTTGAAAGTGCAAAAAATCAATGTTTGAAATTAATAAAGTTGACCATTAGTTTTAAAACACCCTGTAGAAAGCGATCAACATTTAAATCATTCTCATGTAGCATCAAGTCAGTATTGTTGATTTCGAAAGACTTTTTGAAATGCAAGTTAACGGGCTCATAGGTACAGGGCCCTAAAGGAAAGCAGTCAAACGTCAAAAATTTTGAAAAATCTTGAATAACTATTAACTTGAAAACCTGACGCTGGGTATAGGGAAATTGGCATCAAAAGTTTCTATCGACATCCGGTAGAATCGGAAGTGAAACGATTATGATAATATTTTCTTTAGATAGACCACACAAAAAATGTTGGTATGAAAATTTTCAGATTTAAAGACCTGAATACTGATGAATAAGTGCAACATTTAGTTCTTGATAAAAAGTTGACACTTCTTAAATTTAAATGAGTAAGCGGTTGGTTGGTTGAGAATAAAGAGAATATAACAATTGAAAATGGAATTAGTTTACTACTTTTTACCTTTTATGACGTGCCTACCTACTTTAACACAGCAATAAAATACCCCATTTTTGGAACTGAAACAATTTAATATTGGTCATTCCATGTCCACTATATTAGCTATACATATATATCAGTTGATTTCCATAGAAATAAATGTATTCCTATCCTATTACTATTAGCAAAGAGTAAATTATGGGTACTCTTTGCTATTAGGTACTAAGGGCCTTCTATAAAATAACACTGACTGACAAAGGTGATGCATGACATACCTTATTGGCGGAGACGATGAAGAATCTGGCATTTGCGAACGTCCTGAACTCATTTTAACAATGTACACTGCAAAAATTAATCACTTCTCATGTACTTATCAAGATACAATATGATGTCGGTAAATGAATGAAGGATTACATTTGAATTTTTGGGATGTTTTCGGAACTATTTATAGTCCACGGTTGTTCTGGAAATTGCATGTAATCTGCCGTTCTTGCAATTTCGGCTTTACTGGAGCTAATCGTTGAGTAACATTTTTGTATGAAGCTCATAGTTCAAATTATGGATTTTAGGCGGTGCCGGAGTGTGGTTGACCAATGGTGGTTAACAGATTTATTGACTAATGTTTGTCGCATTCCTATTGGCGTTGGTGGTGGGGTGAAAAACTCACCCCTTATGGCGAATGAGGCTTCTGCAGTTGACGGCGCTCTTAAGAGGTTCGTAAAATAGTGTCTGTCATCTGCAGATTTTTCTACAGAGAAATAATGGAAGCCAGATGAAATCACGTCACTGAATACATTTCTAGCCTGCACTAGGAATGGACGCCGGACGGGATAAAAATGGAGCTACATATTCGCGGTATTGCAACGCTAAAAAAGGTAACTCGTCTAGCATTTATTAACAAGTTTAGGTATACGTTGTTAGCCGAAATTTTAAGATCCCCAAGTGTTAGATCACGCAGTAGGTAATAGCCAAAGTTTGTAGGTACCCTTTTAGACTGGGAGAGCCTTTTACTAATTTATTAAAATTGCACGACAGTATTTTTCTTTTTATACAGGGTGTTTCTTAATAACATGCTAAAATATTGAGGGAGGTGATTTTTGGGCCCATTTTAAGAAAAAAACGTTTTAGTAAACGTTAGTTATGTCTAAAACGTCCGAACTTTTAAGATACTGGGTGTAAAAGTTTTAAGAAAAAAATTAAATTTTTGTCATTTTCGTACCACATTAAATATTTATGAAATTTGACGTACGACAACTGTCAAAAGTGTTTATGTTTGTAAAAGAAAACAAAACCTGCTTACTACCTACTAGATCGTTTTTAATTTTTTTTTTTAAATAAGTAAACGTTTAATTACTTTATACATTTCAAAAGAGCGTACAAATGAATGAATTTTATTTTTTTATGCGAAAACGATTAGTCGTATACGAAAAAAAGTCAAGACATCAAATTTGTTTTAAATTGAATGGGGACTCCAAACATAATTTTTATTTTAAGAGAAAGCAGTAGCGTACAACTTTTTCCTTCAAAAATGTCTAGTTGAGCCCAGTACGGACGCCATTGATAGAAATAAAAAAATGTTTTTAGGTAAAAAAAATGCTCTTTCATGCATTTAAACGCCGTACACCAAATTTCAAAAAAATATTTGTGGTATGAAAATGACAATAAAAAATACATTTTTTTCTTAAAACTTTATCACTCTGTATATCAAAAGCTAAGACGTTTTGGACATACGTTCATAGGAAGTTTTTTTCTTAAAACAAAGCCCAAAACTCATCCCCTTAAATATTAGGATGTTATTAAGAAACACCATGTATATTTTTGACATTTATCGATCACACAAATTCTGACCAGATACTAAATGTTGAGTCGGCGCTCTTCCAAAGCCTGTGCCAACTATTGGGCATTCGCAAGATCCCCACAGTCAGTGTTTAGCCGGGGCCGGGTGAAGTTTGGTACAAGACCCGGCCACAAAGAAAGCGTGAGGAACAAATACATGGAACAGTGATAGTGCACATATAAATCGGTTGGCTCCATACACTGGACAGAACGAACCCGGGGAACAGGAAGCAGCGAATTTGATCCACACGAAACCAATACAGCCCACTTTCGCGGAAATTATGGCACATTACTCTGAATAATCTAATGATTTTTTGAAGCACCAGCGTCGTACGCTTTGGCTTACTATATAGCCAAGATGTCCAGCGGTGTTGCCGTAATGCCGTAGAATTGAAGTACCGATTTTGGTGCCTAAGAGAAATCTACGTGCACCGTCCCGAGGAGCTAAGATAAAGTGTATTTCCTACAGGAACAGGAACGATTTCTTTTTTATCTAGTAACAAAAGACCAGTCTACAAACATTTTTGGAATATAATTACAGTATTTAAAACGGCGACTACAAATTCATGGCGTTCAAAAAACTGGCAATTCCAAAGATTGGATGTGGCCTTGATAAGTTGGACTGGCGCATTGTGCGCAAATATGCTGGAGGTGGTATTCCAGTGCACCGCAATGGAAATAATGGTCCCTCGCTTTAACCCCAGAAAACCTCCGCAACCGATTCGTAAGACGCTGGATCGCTTTTATTCTAATGAATGGAAGATGCACGGCAGATGTGACGTAATCATTCCTAGACATATGACTTGTTGGTTCGAGAACATTCTGAAGCGACCTTGAACACCCTAGAACATTCTAAGAACATTCTAGAAAGAATGTTGTTTGCTATACAAGCAAATCGAATTGTGTTTCGAGTTCAGTTCCAACATCGACGCGCCTGAGTTATGTTTAAATAGTGAGTGATAAATAATAATTACTGTTATAAATTAGCCCATTTTCAGACTGTGATAAATTTATTGTTAATTATTTGTAAATAAATAAACGACGTAATTAAATTTACGTTACAATATGTATACAGTGTGCCCAAATCAGCTTACTTTGATTTTTTTCATCAACATGAGACAACAATTTTAAAATCAGTAAATCGTGTAAAAAACAATCACATCTTAGGGCGGATTTATGGAATTTTGTTGTTCGTCATGTCAGCTGACCTCTCAATTCCCTCAAGGTTAGCAGTTATTTGGTGTTAAAAAACACTTAAGGAATTGTATAAATTTGTGTTGGGAAATTACTTAACAGTTAAGATCTATGCATAATGGATTAGAAATAAAGAATTAAGTATTACTTAATCATAAAGAAGTTGCATAAACCCGCCCTTGGACATATCAGCTTGACAGATATGGTAGACTTTCAATTTTCATACAAATCAGCCTACTTTGATTTTTGTTACAAACGAGTTGAAGAGTATTGGATGCTGACGAAAAAAATATCAAAGCATGCTGATTTGTATGGAAATTGAAAGTCTTCCATAACAACTTTTGTAAATACATTTTTGTTAATCTGTTAAAATAAAGACAGTTTACTTATTCTGACTAATTTTTAGAATTCGGCAAAAAACACCCTTCATATTAATTGATTTGGGTCATTTTTTCAATATCTTAGTTTGAGAGTAAGCAGGAACGATCCTCAGAACATGAAGACCCAACTCTAAACATATGTATCATACACACTTTATGTGCACTCAATCCGTGGACACACTGTATACCTATGTCTATACTTGCACAAAGTACTTGTATCCAGACGCCTCATACGGATGGGATAGACTGTTATGATTCTTTTTAAAGGTCTGAATATTCAAAGCATTATACAGGAGAGACGAAACACGAAAAATTGTCCAATGAAATGAATACTTTGTTTGAAAAATTATTATTTTCTACTAAATTAAACTCTCGAAGAAAATTATCCAGCATAATAGAGCGATAAAATTATCTTGGTAGCAAAATAACGTATACTAACTGTTAATATTGGAAATTTAAGGCAAAAGTCTCAAAAAAAACAGCAACGACCTTTCATAGTTATTTATATAATTAAATGCACGAAACTCCCTTCGATTTCTGCAATTATAACATGTGGGAGTATCCACTTCTGTAAGTGACAAACTATTCTTTCCTTGTGATTTGGGGGCCTCGTGTCCGGCACACGGATGCGCCACGTGCATATAGCGAGAGGCCCCACTTACATGTGTCAAACATGGTTTGTAACCACCCTGTACTTCGTTTCGGAAAAAAAGAGACCGGACCCTAACCGGCAGCGCTCAATTGTTTGGAAAGATAAGCCAACAGGATTTGTTTGCGGTAAGCTTCATGAATTTATTTTGGTTTTGTTGTGGACTTTGAATTATTTATTTGTTGGTTTGTTTGAAGTGTGCGATCTTAATTTTAAGCGCGGGTTATGTAATTATTTGGCGATGGGGTGGTTTTGGATTAAAATTTCAATCCGTTTGAATTGATTTAATAAACTCTCTTCCTCTCACTGCAAATTTACGTATTTTTCCATGCGACTTTACTTTCAAATTGCTGTGTTAACTGCTTGCGATTTATAAACCACACACAAATCATCAAATCTGTTATGTTCAAGAAGCGTGAAATTTGTCTTTCCACCGGCTCTTGACACTTCAAACAATCAATTCAAAGCTCCACCCTACGAGGGTCGTAATAGCTGTTATTATGTATTCGCGTAGCAGTCGTTATCGGATGAGATATTTTTATCTACACGTACTGTTCAAATTACTAATCAAGATCGTTATTTTCAAACCAAGACGCTTAAAACCTCGCTTAAAACAAAATGCGCGCCTTAAAATGATGCCAATACGGCAAAAATGTTGCAGAAATAAATCACGAATCGGCATTAACAGTTTACATAATAACCCCTAATTGATAGGCCACGTTCCTCTAAGTACCGGCAATATGTTTAGGGCATTGTCTCGGTGGTTATCGTGACCCTGCTCAAAAAATATTATAGCCCTAGTTTAAACTGGGGTGCATCCTGGGAATTGTCGAAATGCTATTACGATTTGTACGTTTGTTTACGGACGCACTAAAGTGTATCTGATTAATTTCATGGGATATGTTAATACTACACTAGATACCTACTTGACTATTTATCTATTTTTTTAGATACGTCTTTCTTGCATGCAATTACTTATATTTATTATACATATTTAGGTATAGGTACAAAACAATTATTTACCTACAACTAGTAGACCGCTGTTAGACATTCCCTCTATAAAATTGCTTACTAAACACCACCCCGGCAATTAGCAAGATAGGTACGTTTAAATGAAAAACAGGAAAGTGTACGTATATTATTATAAAGAGTGATCTAAAAAGATTGAAGAAAGAATTTCCCGAAAAACAAGTAAGGTTCGTAATAGCACAGATTTAGTATCTGATGATCATTCCTCTACTTATACCACAGATTTAAATCTGTGCCTATACTTAATTACGGTGGCGTATCTGACTTATTTATACTTAATTTACAAATTTACAAGTACATATTGCAATGATTAATGAATTGATTTAAAAGTTGTCTGCACTGTGATCTGTAGGTGCAGTTCCCCTAGGGCCTAGTGACTGCTTCTCGAAGTTTATCATGTGTGTGGAGACTATTCTGGAAGATGTTCTTTTTTAACGTTATAGAAAACAAAAAAAAATTGAATGGAGTTAAATCCGGAGAACGAGGAGGCCCTAAACCTTGTGCTGATGAAGCGATTATGATTTATGGTAAAATTGATTCAAATATCGACCTGTGGCATTTGCAGTGTGTGCGGCAAGCTTTACCCTGTTGAAAATATCGTTGCCTCAATTCGTCAACGTGATGATGATTGAACAATGTATTTGATACTGCTATAGTTGCGGAAATGGGATCAATAATGCGTCTTCGAAATTGAAAGAATCTACTTTTGCGTTTTTCTTTTTTAAATAAAAGAAGATGGGCCTTTTCTATCAAATGTACCTATGCAATAAAAAGGAATAATCAATCAAAAAGCGTCATCTTTTGTAAATAGCTCCATTGTAGGTATACAGTGAGATTTTTTTTAATGCGAACATAGGAGCTTGCATGCAATGTAATTTCCCTATGTTCGATTTTAAAAAAAACACACCAATCTATGAGGTGTGCGCGGTACACATTCCCAAAACGCGCAACTTGTGTGACTATGAACCGCAACTCATAGTCTTTATGATGAAGAGCACTCGGTAAGAGCTTTTTAAATAAGCCATGTGAAGCCATAGCAACTTTAGGATACATTTTTTTTAACTTACGATAACTTGACTTCACATGGCACGCGCTGACATCACAAATTCATTGTGAACCAACCTTCAATTATTTGTAGGTCATGTGCACCTGGTATTCTACTAATTTGATTTATTCAATACATAAATGAAGAAAATAAGAAAATAAATACCGAAAACAATTACAATAAATGTTCGAAGTGTCCTCCTTGACATTCTAAGCAATAACCTAACCGATTTCCTAATTAAATTGAACCGCGGTATTTTTAAAAATGTGACAGCTGTCATTTGTATCTACTACTCATTTGAACTACTCAATAGATTGATGTGTTTTTTTTAATCGAACATAGGGAAATTACATTGCATACAAACTCCTATGTTCGCATTTAAAAAAATTCACTGTATGTTATACAATGGTAGCGTGTAAGGTAACAACGTGGACATTATTTTATTTATAGAGCGTGCGGTGCCTTAAAATTAACTACATTGGCGATTGCTTTGCTAGATGTCACTATCTAGCAATAACAAAGTACACTGACTTTATAGATAGACAGTGGCGACAATAGGACAATTCAAATTAGAAGAAGATTTTCCATGTAAACATGATCGCATAGTACAATATTATATGCAGTGAATTTTTTTTTAATGCGAACATAGGAGTTTGCATGCAATGTAATTTCCCTATGTTCGATTTTAAAAAAAACACATCAATCTATTGAGTAGTTCAAATGAGTAGTAGATACAATTGACAGCTGTCATATTTTTAAAAATACCGCCGTCTAATTTAGTTACGAAATCGGTTAGGTTTGCTTAGAATGTCAAGGAGGACACTTCGAACATTTATTGTAATTGTTATTTGTCGTTATTTATTTTCTTATTTTCTCCATTTATGTATTGAATAGATCAAATTAGTAGAATACCAGGTGCACATGACCTACAAATAATTGAAGGTTGGTTCACAATGAATTGTGATGTCAGCGCGTGCCATGTGAAGTCAAGTTTTCGTAAGTTTAATAAAAATGTATCCTAAAGTTGCTATGGCCTGGCATGGCTTATTTAAAAAAATCTTACCGAGTGCTCTTCATCATAACGACTATGAGTTGCTGTTCATAGTCACACATGTTGCGCGATTAGGGAATGTGAACCGCGCACATCTCATAGATTGATGTGTTTTTTTAAAAATCGAACATAGGGAAATTACATTGCATGCAAACTCCTATGTTCGCATTAAAAAAAAACTCACTGTATATTACTCTCGCCAGGAAAGATTGCCGGTCACAGTACACCTTATGTTGACATACAAATGTTGACAGCTGGGATCTTCAGAAAAACATAGATTGTAGACCGGGATGAAGTCTTCTGTGACCGGTAATCTTTTTATTTATTTATTTTTATTTATTATTTATTTTTATTTATTTATTTATTTTTATGGCTATGGCAGGAGATTGAGAGAGTACGCTCAAACGTCATGATTTAGATTAAATTTTAACATTATGGATCTCGGAGCTCCAAAGTGTATTCTTCGGTTTCCGTGTAACTCTTATAATCATTCCAGTTTCATATCTTTTCTTCGTGTTTTTTTAAAAGGGTATTTTAGAGTTTAGAGTATTGCTGTTTCGGGCGCTATTTAGATGCCCTCGCAGTATATTTCCTCCAGGGCCCTCTCTTTGCCCTTTTTATGGATTTATGGTAGGCTATAAGTGAACTAAATATGTATCCCACCCACCTGCTGTTCTTTTTGCTATATTAAAAAGCCTCTTAGTCTTCCACCGTATTCTAGTGAATCCTTCATGCCACCATGGCACTTTTTATGAGGTTTTTGTCTTCAGCGGATATCTGTTCTATTATGACCGTTCCGGGGTCATTGTCTACACTTTTCTTCACATGACTTGCCTCTCAAGGTGGTTTCCAAGTTTTTCCATCTAAAAGTTAAAATGTGGACGATGTTCACAGACCTCCCCCAGTTTGTCCCAGGGAATCTGGTCCATAAGGGCTACTAACTGTTGCTCTTCAGGGTCCTCTTTGTGACCCACTACTCTTCACTCCCTTGTGGTAATACCCTGGTTACAGGTTTAAGTAGCTTTGTAACTTCGAGAAACCGAAACCGCGCCCAATGTGTTTGCCTGTATGAGTGCCACCTTTGACTTTTTTAGTCGTTGAGCTCCTGATAACTTTGACTCAGAAGGTCGTTCTTTTCCAGAGCACGCAGGGGTTTCGAGGTGTCTCATAAGACGTTTCAGTCACGCCTGATTCTACAGTTCACCACGTGACGCTGCAACGCATCTTCCTACTGCACGATGCGTAAGAAAGAGGCCGGTCCATGCTCGGGTGCCAAGTTGTAAGTCCAATGCTAAAGTTTTTGCTGTTACTACCATTAAATTGATTGACATCTCAGATTAATGAATCTTTTTCGTATTTCGCCAGTCATTGATGCATTATCATCATCGTGTCACTGCATGAATCTGTAATGACCCAAGAAGAGAATAATTACACCAAAGTGTTATACATTTTTAAATGGAAGAAAATTTATTAATAGGTACAACAGAATTAGATTAATGCAACTACTGATGTTTCATATAATGAAAATAACATTGCAAAAATCTCACATATTTTTACAGTTTTACGGCCTAGGTATTTAATTATTGTTTTTACATCGCATACTTCACTAGAAAATAATTTATATAAATGCAATTATAAAACTTAACCGTTTGGTATTTCACTATAATAGCACACCAATACAAAACAATTCCTGAGAACAACCTATTATGCTTGTAAACTTTCAACGTACGTTGCTGGAAAAATACCCACAGAACCCTTGCACTCTCCCAACCACCAACCGTCCTCTTGTTTTCTGTAAACGGATAGAACATCTCCCGGATGTAGTGCCAATTCATCAGGAAGATTCGGCGTGTAGGTGTAGAGAGCTTTGCACTGAGCTATCGGTTGCACCGGATTTTCTTCAGTTGCAGAACTACCTTGCGATGAAAACTCATCTGGGAATACAGTAGGGTTAGAATATTCACAATCAAGGCGATTTCGTACCAAAATCGGAATCCGGCTGATTAGAGTTACCATCCGCTGCGCCACGATCTGTCCAGTCCGGTTCAAGGTAGTCAATCTCGTTGATATGGCCGGATTTAATAGATTTTTCGCTGACTGGGCTCTTTTCGGGTTCTACAAATTCTTCGCGCAACCAATCAGGTACCTATAAAACCAAGCAATACCAGACAAATTCACAAACAACATTGAAAGGTAACCTTTAAAACACTTTGCTGCAATCCTGCTTTATCTCTGGTAACTGTAATGTGAGGGGCTAGTGGGTGACCCGTTTTTGGTTTACTATCTAATTCGGCTAAAGCGTTTTGTACTTTGTATCTTGCACCTTCCAGGTAGGTTAACATTGACTTCATCTGTGAAATATTGAATTACCAGGTCGAATTGCTGCGAATATCTCGATACTTACGTGGTATAATTTTTCAGAAACGTTCTGTTGTGAATCTTCCGCTCCGAAATTTGGCGTTTGTTTGATAGCCTTTGATAAGTTTTCCAGGCCATTTTTCGACTTCCTTTCTCGCTCAATGTCCTGCCTAATAAGCTGGAGGAGTTTCACTAATGCCTAGGACAAGAAAATTAGCGATGGGACAGCTAAACGTTACCACCAACCTGTTTTCTCCTGTCTCTGTTCATGGCCAAGGTAATGTGTTCACAGTAAAAGTCGGGAAGCAGTTGCTCTGCGGTTTGTTGCGAGGAGTTGCGAAGATTCACAAATGTTGACAAATCCTTGGAGGGATCTGCTTGCGCAACTGGACCCGATAACCTTTCGGTTGCCTGTGAAGTAATGATTAGTAGAGCTCTAGATTGCTCAGATTATACCTCAACAAGACGAGGTCCCAATTGATTGCTGTGGTGTAAATACGAATTTAAAACAGATTTTAAATTATTCAGTCTTTCTTCTTCTAGTACTTGAAATGTATTCGAACCCCTCAATATGTCAGATTCCCACTCTAGTCTGAAAGAGGCAAATTTAAATTGTCGATCTGTGCATGTGACGGGGTTTACCTTGCGCGTTCGGCTCTGACGCATAACGTATAATATTCAATGTCGGCCTTTTTTACTGCATCTTCTGCCTTACGCCTCTTACCTTCCAACTGAATGAAAAAATGATTATTGACTGCGCGTTTTGCCCTTCAACTTACCTTTGCGTTTTCTTTTTCCGATAACACTTTCTGGTTGTGCATATGAGCCAATTGAATCAAACTAGTCGTTTTTGATAATCTGAAATCAAAAACGGATATGTTAAAATAGGACGTATGTCTTGAATTGATTACTGGATTAAAAACACCTTCAGATCCCTTTTGGGAAAATCGCTTTCAAGTTTCTTGATGATCAGATCAGAGTGTAGGTAGCTGGATCATTTATTGAAAAGGTTGTCGATTTATCTCGATTTAGTAAAAATTAAGTTTAAAGGTAATCATTTTCAAAACCGAGGAGAGATAAGAAACCAGAGTTATGTATTAGGGTCTGGAGATTAGATAGCAGTAGCTTTAGTTTCTAATAAAGAGAAACTATACTTTCCCAAACGAGTTAAAATAAATCAATTTCTGAGCTTCGTAATCCAAAAGGAATAAAAAGAAGGAACAAAAAAGCATCTGGCCCTGAAGGAACTTTAGAATGTGAATGATTGAGACGATGTTGGTATCTCCATTTTATTTGTTTTTATTAGACAAACCGACCCTAACATTTCGATAAAATTGCCCCACAAATAATGAAGTTGTCTATAGCGCACGAGTACATATGAGGGAGAACCTAGCTCAGTTCAAGGTCGCTCGCCATCTGGTGGTGACTTTGAAAAGTAGGTCAAGGTGAAGTTCGAAGGTCATCAAAGTTCAATGACCGCATTTTTTTCATTATTTCATTTTCAAGATCAATGATCCCATTTTTTGTGATGTCACTTCATTTTCAAGGTTGTCCAAGCTCAATGATCTCCATATCTTTGTAATCATATTCTACTTTCAAGGTCATCAGAGGGCAATGCGTGTTGCAACAGTTCCTAATTATTCCCAGAAAAGAAACTATTTCCCTAAATGATTTTCTTCCACTCAATTTACGCGGATGAGCACCATTATTTTGATAGAATTGATACACCCTTGATATAAACCTATCTATACTTTTCGCACAACCGGTCATCACTTAGAGGTTCCTCTGAACCCGCAATTAGAACATAGTTTTGATTTTTCTCTGCAACAATTGAAAGAATTGACAAAATTTGTAATTCATTGTAACTCATTCAGTTTTGAAGGTACCAAGATTTAATTTTTGTATTCGACCATGTGCTTTTGTCAATGCAACTATTAAAGAGTTTTCGGCTAAGAGAGCATGGGAAACTGGAGAAAGCGACTTTAAACAAGGTATTAAACCGAATCCTAGCCCAAAGGTGAACGCGAATCCAAACGTGAGCGCGAATCGGATCCAGATGTTACACACACCAATTGAACCTTCACGTTTGGGCTCGCGTTTACATTTAGGCTTGCGTTCACGTTTGTTTTGAGTGGCGTTTAGGTTCGGTATCGATTTGCGTTTCGGCATAATTCTACAAACAACTATACGCGTGTAATGATGGCTGCGATGGTTTACACTTCATGAAACACTTGTAAATACGTTGGGATAGGAAGGTGACGGTATTATATACTGTAACGTTATTTATAAATTCGGGTTCGATTTATATCAATATTTATTAAACAAAACTAAAACACTATAAAAACCGTACAATTTATATCGATTATTTATATCACACACTTCGTAATTTATATTTCCGCGCTCGATCTCGTTCGGTAGTAAAAACTGCCGCGATGTTCGGTCCGCAACCATTTATACACGCAAGCAATGTAAGTCCAGGAACATTCGCGTACAGTCTCGAATATTCCTACACAAATCCCACTATCGCGCGCGTAGAAAATTTCAGAGCGCCAAAGGTGACGTCATGTCTGGAGCGTTTCCGTTACAATACTGATCGGATCCCTTTCGAAAACGACCATCATCAAGACTTGCTTTCTTTACGATTAAGAACTAAGAAACCGAACATTCCTGCTTTTCACAAGCGATATTCTGAAATATAAAAACCGAATTCGGTCGTGCCATAATAAATGCATTGTCCGTAAAAGTAAAATATACTATTTCATGGAATTTTGCGAACAGCCAGCTACAAATGTTAACAATTTTGGCAATTTTTCGGGTATCAAATTACAAACGGTGACGTTTTTTTGTGTATCAAATTACAAATTTTGTCATTTTTTGGGTATCAAATTACAAATTATTGCAATTTTCGGGTATCAAAAGTCTTTGATTGTTGGAAAAATTACAACTCGATACCTTCAAAGCTGAATATTATGTGGGTTGAATATCGAAGCCGAAATCTGGCCCGTGCAAACCAATAAAAATATTTCTTGAAACGCGCTAAATAGATGCTATAGACGGAGTATTTGCACATTATTTTTTTGTTATAATAAACGGTCATTTGTCCCAAATGAGAGGGGAGGAAATGTTTAGGTGTGAACGACCGAAGCGACGTAAGAGTTTCACCCTGACCCACTTTGCAAGGTCATCTCCAGGAGGCGAGTACCCTTTAAACTTCACCTTGAGCTACAAAAATCGGACCTCTGATACTCCTGAAAAAGAAATATGGTAGAACTTTGAAAATGAAATGACACCACAAAAATGACTATTGACCTCTGATAACCTTTAAAATGCGTCACGTACGATACTTCCGTACCTACTGATCATTTGTGGAGTTCTTCGAATTCGGTTATTTACAGCTCTTCGATTTTGGACTGACGAACGGCTTTAATTGCAGGTTCATTAACTCTAGGGCAATCAAGAACCACACGCGAATTGAACGAACTAATAGCTTCACGTTTAATGCTATAAAATCTATTGTTTCGGACCAAAGACTTTCCGCTCTGATGGTCCAAAACCGAATGCCTTACCCCCATCTCTCCTGGACCCGTCCATACTCTTTTTTAATTATCTAACACGCCTACAAAATGCCGCTAATAGGTTAAATGGGCCATCAGTAACCAATAAATTGTATCTACTTAACCCAATCAAGTGCGAATAAAGGCCATCTATTAAAACCAACCAGATTTCGAGATCGCTTACTCCGCGACTCTCACGATGCTGCATAAGGGTACGAACAGAGTGGAGGCAAGTTTCTCGCTTGCCGGTTACCAGCGACGACTCGCGCTTCTCGCTTTGGAAATCATATAATGTTTTCGAATTAGCGTGTACGGAGTGAAAGCAGGTTAAAACTTGTCGGCGCCGGTCGCCTGCGTCCACGCTTTTGTCGGAATAAAAATTTAGTTTCTGCCGTTTCTCCCGCGAGTTTCGGATAAAGAAGCTCTTATAAGGACAGTGTTTGAGAAAACCTCTATAAGCGATAATCGAACCCACAACCTTCCGAATAGCGGTCGGGAACGCAACCACTGCGGCACCGGCTTCGCTTTTTCTCGCTTTTATTGTGTGCAGTAGTCACAGCTCCTATCGGCGCGAGATACCGAAAAGCGAGAAACCTGCTTCCACTCTGTTTGTACACTAACATCACTGTGAGTCATTCTGATTCAGCTGTTTCGGTGACGTAAAAACATTAAGTTTGTTTTATCGCCCGTCAGACTGTCGCCAGTAACTTTTCCCTAGAGGTTAACCGGCTGATGACGGTGTCGGTATACTAGTATACTTATAGAATGAAAAAATGATTTTGCTATACCTGTCTCCTACATTCAATTGAAATTTTATATTTCCTAATTAAGTTCTATCACCCATAACATCCAGAAAAAAGGGGAAATAACCATACCGTTTCTCAAAACAAGTTTATTTAGATTAACAAAGCAAGTAGATAAAGAAACTTCAACCATTGATCATTCCATTGTGCTAGGCCGAAATGGATACGAGTTTGATGACGTGTGCTAACTTGATTGCATTAGGTAGTTTCAGTACCTACACAATGATTTTAAATTTAAAATATTCCCTTCATGGTCATTGTCCACTTTGTTTAAAATGGGTAATGATACCGTGTACCTTGAAGCATGAAGTGGAACGTGAAATATATTAATCAATCACATACGTTTAATCATCAGAACGAAGAACCAACTATTGTATTCAGTTTGGATTCACATTAACATTAGACATTATTCTGGTTACCAATTACGGAACATATGTATGTATGTGCGCAGTGGATATTAACCCCAGATTTGGTGAACAAGAGCTGATGGATAACACTTACCTAACGTCTAGTAAAGCATCTTGTAATTTTTCATTATCTCGGGCACACGCGTGGCTGTGTTTTTTACTTTTCGCTTCCGCCGCCCTCCATTCCGAAAGAACTTTGGTCGATTTATCCACCCCAATTTCGGCTTGTTTGCGAATCTTGTGTTGATTTTCGGTTAGGGTTTTTAATGGACGAGTGGCGTCCTCGAGTAACGCCGTCCCTAAGACTCGATGAGCCTCCGCTCGAGTTTCCAGTTCGACCGCGATAGACCTCCATGTGTCGTTCAAACCTCCGACGCCCTCCCTGCAGGCCCGTGCCAATTTTCCGCTGAGCTTTGATAAACTTTTTGCATACTGTAGTTCGGCGTCAGATCTAGAAATAAAATAAATTCCATTTTAATTCATATTGTACGTCAAACAAAGTAGTATAAGATCATTGTATCAATCCAACACAGATAAGTAGTTAGAGAAAGCAAGGGATAAGCAAAATTGAAACCAATCGAACGATACAGGATACAAAATAAACAAGTCTAATTTCTAAATTTTTTAGAAATGTTGATGATTTAGATTTTAGATGATACGATACGAAACGTGGTCGTTATTTTAAGAGTACGAGTCGGACGCTATGTCGCAAAGATGATAATCTCATTACTCTTGTAGACGGTAGATCTTCTAGCGGTCGCGGACCACGGAAAAAATATAATTTTCGATAGATTGATCCAAGGCTGTAGTGAGACTTGTTTTGCCACATCTTGTAGGTCCCACAACAATCCCACATTGGGTAGAAAAGGAAAACAAATAACAATACTTTAAAACTAGTGAACGACAGAACTTTCAAAATCAAGTAAGTAATGAATGCGTAGGGAAAACTTAGTTTGTTAATAAAAATAGTGATCGTTGCGCATGCGAAAGGGAGACAAAGTATCGTGAGTAGACATATTTTAGGGGTTTTCAAAAGGTAAAACACTGCCATCTAAGTTCGTACAAATTAAACGAAATTCGGGAAAGTAAAAAGTGAACATTAAGGAATAATCGTTAAACATTTTTATAAGCAACTGGCTGAGAATCGAATGATATTACCTAAGACACAATAAAGATACAGTAGTTATTTGACCTCGTGAAATCAGGTTTCAAAACAGTTTCCAGATTTTGCCTCATTGTTTCCAGCTGCATTGTTAAAATTTTGCGTAGTAGAAATTGGGCATCATCATTGCATGGAATTACATCTTCGAGATTTGATTTTGAGATTTGTACAGTGTGTTCAGAAAAGGTACGTTGTTTCCATTTGAAGTTTCGACTTTGATGCTTTTGATTGCCATCTGGCAACATATTTTTTTTTAATTTGATGGAAAGGTAGACACAAATACAATAAAATTAAAATTTCACTTTCGCGCCCTTTATTGACAAGTCGCAGCAAAACAAAAGAACGAACCTCAGAATCTAAATACCAGACGTTTCCTCCCAACAACCAAGGTAAGTTATATATTACACGAAGACTACCAGCGTAGAAGATACGAAGACATGTGGTCGGAGGTGGAATAACGCAACAATGTTTTATACACGACGAAACAGTATATAAATACATTTTGCCTAAAACCTTTTCCCTTGCATAGACATAAATTAAACAATATTTAATCTACTATTCATATCATAGTCAAATTAAAACGTCACATGTGGATGTATCAGAGTTGTTTACATTGCACACTCATTTCAAATACACTTCAGTTTCAGTTATATGGAAGGTTTTATTATTTTCAAAACGTAAAGAACTTGAACGTAAACTCACAATATATTGCACACTGATCAGTCTGCAGATGGTTCGTCGTTTTATTTAAATTGAAATTTAAATTGTGTATGCCAGACGTCAAGACACAGACGGCAATAGGAATTCCTGACATTTTACGACAGTTATTATTCAGCACAAAGAGTTTTTGGAATTTATGTCGTCGTCGTCGGTTGTGAATCTGGTTGTGTTATACCGGTACCCCGTTTGGCGACAGTCAGTTCTCACCATATAATTTGTGATCGACCTGTATCGTTTTTGAAAGATCAATAAGCAACAATCAAAAAGTTAGTGTCTATTTTGAACAATAATAAAATCCAACACCTTGAAGACCACATAAGTGTTGTGTGCTATTGTTTTTCTAGTTTCGTCTGTGGGGTTTGATGAACATTGTTATATATTATTATTTGTTACTGAAGATTTAATATAGATAGTGTAATTTTGATTTAATGTGTTTGGCATTGTTCTAAAAATGTCGTCACGTGTTTATGAACCCAGTACGCGAGCAGTGGCGTAACTAGGTAGGTGCCAAAGGTACCGCGGCACCGCGCTCTGAATGGGAGAGGGCGCGCTGGAAGCGCTGAAGCACCGAGGGCACTAAGTCGGGATGGGCATCGCGGTGTACCGTATAGGCCAGCCATAAAAGACAAGAACGGCGGTTAAATTCTAATAGTTTGCTAAAGACGAATACAGGGTGCAGTGAAATATAATTAAAACTAAATTTACAGTCCTTTAGGATGAACGGAACATCCAAGGGATTTCAGCGCAATTTTGTGTGGCAGATCAGTACTTTTATTAGGCAGTTTTGACTCCACAATCAATAAGATCTTGTCAGGGGGCTACCACATTCCCTTTGTCGGTACCCACTTCTGACGCCCCCACAGACGGCGGAAGTATACAAAGTTTGAATCAAAACACTTGTACCACGCTATGGTAAGCGCCTCAATATGAATGGCGACTATGTTGAAAAATAGCCTAAGAGTGTAGCTTCCAAATGTACTTATATAATAAAAGTTGTTTCTTACATTGTCTTAATTTTTTATTTCAAAACTTTCTGGATGGCCCTTGTAGAACAAAGTTACAGCGGTAGGAAAAGGCTGCAGATTTAAGCTAATAATAATACTTTATTTGTGATATATACAATAGTCTGTATTAGTGTAGCATTTGCACCCTTATTCTAAAACGCAATCATTTCTACGACTTGTACCCTATGTCATAGCTAAATTTGACGCGAGAATTGAGAACATTATAAATGTATTTTTATTCTTCGTTATTCAAAGCATTTTTCTAAAATTTAAGTAGTGCAGTGCTTTTAAAATTTCGTGTAAGTTTCTCTCAAAAATGTACAGTGTTTTATTCATTAGAGCTCAATGGTAAGTGACAAGGTGGGCAAATATGGTAGGGCGCCAAAACCAGATCCGGCACCGCTTCGAAAAATACCTAGTTACGTCACTGTACGCGAGTTCTCCTAATTTGGGCAAACCGAGTGTTTTATTTGTAAACAATTATTTGTGAAAATAAATGTAATTAAATTTTCTTTGTAAATTTCATTCGAGTACATGGACAAGTAGGGGGAGAGGGGGGTGCATGTGGACAGCTTTTTTCAAAATTCAATATTTTTTTAATTTTCCATCAATTTTACATTTTCTTTACAGTAGTAACATCGGGCGGATATTGTGAAATGCATACTAAGTACATGAATGCTTAAAATATAAACAAAATGTGCATAATGCCTTTAAAGAAAAAAAAATGTGTTTGTCCACTTGTACCCCATTAGAGGGTGCATTTGGACAGTGGAAGGGGTCCATGTGGACACTTGTTACAAAATGAAAATCTAAGTAAGTTATGTCGAAATTTTCTGCAGAATATCTAAATTTAGAGTTAATTTACATTATACTTCGTGAGGTCTACACCGAATTTAAAGTAGTCAGAGGTTCTTGCTGTCCCTTTATGATTCACTGGCTTAGGTAACTTGAGCACAATATCGTCTCTTATAACAGTAGCTATGTCACTAATGACAGGAAAGTGAAAACTCCATCCAGGTAATTTGCGTCGTAGATATTTAACTTCACACTCCACACCACCTTCAAACAATTTTTGTACAAGGGCAACATAATATATAAAAGTCTTCTTTGTGGCAAATTTAACAAGCACAAAGTCATCCGTAGAAATCACATCGCTGTCCAAAATCGAATGTTCTTCCGCAAAATCGTTTCCGTCAAATCCCTCATCAGAAAAAGAGCCACCTTCTTCTGAAGAATCCTCTGCATCCATGTGCTCTTTATCTGGCGAACTTTCAAAAATAACCCGTTTCACATTTCGTTTCTTTTCCTTTGGAATTTGTCTTTCTTGTTCTTTGTTCTTAATAGCATCCATTTCTGGCGTACTTGTATATATACATGATTTGCCTGTCCTTCTTTGGACATTTCGTCTTGGCGCAGCTTTCGGGTATGGTCTGAGGACTTCAGGGGTCACAATTCCAGAGGGTCCTGGAGGTGTAGTATCACGTTCATCAAGAACAGATTTATTTTCTGGCCTAGTGGCATTTTGACCTGTAGTGCCTGTGTTGCTTAAATTACTATTTACAACTGAATCAGTTACTGGCCTATCAGAAACATATGAACTCTGAAAGTCTGCCTCGGTGAACACAAGTTCATTTAGTGGCCACAAACCAGTAGCTTCAAAAGCTTTTGTAATGTTCTTTGGGATGAAGCTTAGCAAGAATGGTTGCTTAGACAATTGTGGAATGTCATATATTGTAATTTGCTTCCCGGGATGTGTAGCCATGTGGTTATTGAAGGTGGATTTTAAAATTGCCTTAAAAGGCCCATAGACTCCAACATCTAGTGGTTGAAGCCTGTGGGAGCAATGCGGTGGGAACGCGGGACAACAATACCATTCTCTTTACAAAAACACAAAGCTGGCAGAGATATATGTGATTTGTGGTTATCGATGAGTAATAAAATGGGGTTTTCCTTCGACGGTGATAGATGGTGCACAATATGCTTCAGTACATTCATAAATAACTCTGCAGTCATCCAGCCGCTTTTATGAGCCAAACCAACAGCTCCAATAGGTCCGCCATTCACAAAGTGGTCTTTTGCATGGACCCTGGGAAATACATAAATTGGAGGTAGTGCATTTCCTGTTGCTGTTATAATTCCTACAAAGGTAACAAGCTGGCCACGTTCAGAAGATACTATCTGACCTACTTGTTTCTTGCCTTTCTCAGTGAGAACCTTTGGAGAGGGTAGGACAGTAGTTATGCCAGTTTCATCCAAATTTAGTATACGGTTTGGTTCAAATTTGAATTTTTCTAATACGCTCTTATAATTACAAAAAAATGCATTAACGTTTGCTGGATTGAAGGAAGTTGCACGAGCGAGGCTAGTGTTTTCAGGTTTTCTTAAAGAAATGTTTTTGTGTCTCTTTAAGAATGATTTCATCCAGTCAATCCCCGCCTGTTTTTCTACATTCCATTTATTGGGAAATTTTTTATTTAGTTTAAGGGCATACTCGTAAGCTAGTGTTCTTGTTTGACGCAAAGTCAAACCATAGTGAATTGATGAACTTTTAAGAAGATAACTATTCAACATATTTTCTTCTTCTGCTGAAAATACTTGATTGCTAGCATATTTTGACTTGCCTTGGTCTACAGTATCAGATTCTGCACCGGAATCTTCCGTTGTGTTCCGTTGCTTTTTGAAACGTTTGTGCAACATTGATTTCTTTAAGCCAAATTCCGATGCTGCTGTACGCAATGACATTCTGCCATTACTAATTTCTGTAAGGGCTCTTGCGACAATAGTTTCATCAATATCAGCTCTCGATGTTTTGTGCTTATAAGTCCTTACCATACTGTAAAAAAGAAAATTTGTGGGTATTGAAACATAGACTTTAGGACACGGTGTGGAGTAAATGTGGACTGTGGGGTAGATGTGGACAGTCCACATCTACCCCGTATCTGCATGTCCACATGTGCCCCGGTTACAATTTGTAGATGAAAAATTGTTTTAAACACAAGGGTGATTTTCACAGGTAAAATATTGTGGTAGTAATAACCCCTAGTTAAGGTTTGTAAACATAAGTTATTAGCAGTATTATACATACAATCTACTTACTTGATGATCACCGATTATATTCCTCTAATAAGTTTACTTTGTCACCATTCAAACGTGCTTTCAACCATAACACAAACACTATCAGCTGTTAAATGTTCAAACTTTATTCACACATTAGGTATAATCAGAGACATCTATGAGAATTTTTTCGAATTTATTCATGCCTTATAAAGCGCTGAATTCAAACTGCCCACATGCACCCCCTGTCCACATGTGCCCCCCTTTCCCCTATCGAGTTCGGACTTTCGCTACATTATTCCCTATGACTGGCGAATGCTTAAATGTGTAACAATTCAATATAACTCTTCTCTGTGATATAGGTCGAAAGTTTTAGAGCAAAATGTAGCCAAAATTATACTTTATACATGAATTTAAATTAAAAGGTTTCAAACGCATTATCTCGATGCTAAAAAAGTACATCACGTGCACATTTGATAACCACATGTGTGTGATTCAAAGATGTTAAATTATTTTTCTGAGGCCATATGGATTTTGATCGAAATAAGTCAAAATCGTTATTTATGCACCAAGATCGTTGAGAAAAAGACTAGGGGCATTATCTCAATGCTCAAAACATAAATTTGATGCATTTCTGGCGACCACATGGATTTTGATCAAAACATGAGAAAATATTTATGCACCAAGATCATTGGGAATAAGATTAAGAGCATTATCTCAATGCCCAAGACATGAATTTGATGTATTTTGTAAGATTAAAATAAATTATGGTTAAAAGTGATTGTAATACTGAGGATCCTTCGATATTTCGTTGTATCGGTTTATTATTATAGTATTAGCACAGATATACCATATATCTGTGGTATTAGAGACGAAGGTGAAAATGGTGCCGCTAAGGGTTGATGACGGCCGGCATAAATTTCTACGAATCATAGCGATAAGTTGGAACGTGTAAACAATAACAGCGATTTTTCGGCGCTAGGGCATTGGGACGCGGACATTAAACCGCAGACAATGCGGTCTATTGTCTTGCGGCCCAATGACGACGGCCTAATTCCCAGTCGCCGATTCTTCGCTACGTTTTTGTGGCTCACAATGTTGAATGCCGTTTTCTTCTGCAACCACTGGCAGCTCCATTTTCTTCTTGACCTCACGACTTTGCAATTTGTGCCCTAAATAGAGGATATAAACAGATCATCACGGTACTTCCCCCATGGCCTTTGAATATAAAATTAGGTTTATATTCAAGGCCCATGGCGAAAACCGTTTTAACGAATACTGTGCTAAATGGTGATCGACAACGAAATTGGAACAAAAAATCATTACATGTAAACACTACTCACTCTTTCGATTTACTGGAATAGTAAATTGGACAATCACATCTCTCCGATTTATCGCAGTCGAGATCGTATCGTGCAAACTTTTATTGTTTGCACGTTTTAACTTATCGCTACGATCCGCAGAAGTTAATGCGGGCCGGAATCAATCAATCTGTTCACACGCGACAATAAATCGTAACAATTCGATCGATAATTTTGTTCCAGAAAAATGGTCGAAGATGTGCGAGACGCAATTATGGACCGTGATGAAATTACACTGCCTTCAGAAACAGAAAGTGCTAATCGCAAAAAAATTGATAGATGATGCAGCGCAAAAATCGGCAACTTATAAGGTTGGCTGGTAAAACGACTTCCCAATAAGTATTTCTCCAGCATTATACAGTTGATAATATTCTCCAAATCCACTTGTTCAGCTTCATCCAAACCGTAGTGTCAGGAAAGTGAATCGCAGCAAAATTACAATCAACAGCAGTGCCAACGAACAACCTCAATATCAGCAAATTTGTGATCAAACCAATCAAACCCAAAGCACCAGCAATGTCAATCAGCTGCTGATTTTTTCTTACTTTTTAATAAGCAATCATCTTACGATAAATAAATGTGTATGTATATCACAATAAAATTATTATATGACGTTGTGCGAAATAAACCTCTCATTGTGATGATTTCAGATCAATGCCCATGCAGTAGGTAGGTATACCTTATACAGGGTGGGGCAGAGGAACTTGCTCATTTGTATTCGGCACCTTTAGGCGACCGTTGCTCCGACGAAAGTGGGGATAGGTATATTTGACAGAAGGGCATATAAAGTTTTTCCGCCGCGTGGTGTAATCATCATCATGGAGTGGACGAAGATGGAACGCGCGTTCGCCGTCGAGGCATACTTTTCTAACGGTTGCTCAGTCATAGCCACGCAACGTGCATTTCGTAGTCATTTTAATATCGCGCCACGTGGACGTGTTCCTGGCCGGCAATCCATTGTTTCATGGGTAAACAATTTTAGGGAAAATGGTGATGTGAAGAAAAAAACCTGGGTCCCCACGAACAGCAAGGACACCGGAAAACATTGATAAAGTAAGGCGTTCTGTTTTGCAATCCCCTCGGCGCTCTGCACGCAAACATGCAGCTGCACTCAGGTTATCTGCTCGTTCTGTGAGGAGAATCCTTCATGAAGAACTAAAGTTTCACCCCTATAAATTGGTCATAGTGCAGGAGCTTAATCCACGCAATGTTGTTGCTCGAGAAAATGCATTTGAGGCGCTTCTTGGTATGCCTGACGACGCACTTGTTTTCTTCAGCGACGAGGCTCACTTTCACTTATCAGGCAGTGTAAATAAGCAAAACATGCGGTATTTGAGCGCTGAAAACCCCAGAGAACTTCACGAGCGGCCCCTACATTCACAACGTGTCGTTTGGTGTGCACTATCGCGAGTTGGGATAATTCGACCATATTTTTTCGAAGAAAACGAACGGACAGTTTCAGTGACTTCTGACCGTTATGTCCACATGATTCAGGAGTTTTTCCTTCCAAGACTCGATGAGATGGATGTGGGAGATGTGTGGTTCCAGCAGAACGGTGCCACATCGCATACAGCACGAGTGTTAATGGCTCTTTTGCGGCAGCACTTCCCTGGACGCCTCATTTCTGAGGGGTGATCTGCAGTGGCCAGCACAATCGCCTGATTTAGCCCCTTGCGATTTTTTTTATGGGGATATCTAAAATCACGTTTTTAACGATCGTCCCAGTACTCTGGCTAACTTGAAGAACAACATTCGTGTTGCTATCGCCAACATACCCAACGAAATGCTTGACAGAGTTCCGACATTTCCAAAATCGGTTAATGCAGTGTATTGACAATAATGGACACCATTTGCCAGATATCATCTTTAAAACTGTCTAAACATAAACTTTAAATGTTGTACTTGATGATGGAAAAATAATTAAATCAATATTTGCATAAGTTTTTGTTTTATTGAATTTCTAAATCAGCAAGTTCCTCTGCCCTGTATTTACTGGTATACTTACAAAATTGAGGAGCAGACTTGCAAAACGTAGTTTGTCCAAATTATAAATTTCCTTTTTGAAATAATCGCTATTGATAATCTTTATGGAGTAGCTGCAATTGCTTCGCACGTTTCAGTGTTGATGCGGCCAGGAGATATAGTGGTGAGATCCTAGTAACCGGTACGGTATACCAGTTGCTATGATAGTCCCTCGTGAGATGAAATAGTCGCTCGCATAATAATAGTCTCTTGTTTTTTAGTATTTGAGAGCAAGTTTATGTCCCTTTTTGTATAGGGTTATATTTTTCTGACACGCTTCTAAGTTACCATCATTCTACTCGGACACCGTCCTGATGTTCACCAGTGAACAAAAAGATATATTCTGGAATGCCTGTACGCGTGTGAAGATCAGGCCTGCACAATGTTTTTATAGATTTGTCACATTTAAAAAAATGATTTCGAAACTGCAGTTGTTTACTGTACAAATTGCTTCATTAAATGGGGCGTTGTCCCTTTACGTCATAAAACACACATTTTTTTTATATAGTTTGTAATCAGCAAACCCACCTGTAGAAATACAAAGTTCGCAAACTTAATGCGCAGTAGCATCACAAACGAAGTTTATAATTGGATTTAATTATGTTATTGAAAAATTGCGTCACCTCTATCTCAAGGTTTGAAAGTGAACGAGCTACAGCTCGATATATGAATACAAATTTGCGGTTTCTCTATTAAAATGTTGTTTCTAATATTGTTTAGTGTGCTATTACTTTTATTATACCGTTACGTTATAAAACCGGTCAAATATTGGGAAGAAAGAAGCGTTGACCATGAAAGGGCAATTCCAATTTTCGGCAGCATGCTACCGAATGCATTGGGGAAATGTTCAAATACCGAGTTATTTCTCGACATTTACAAAAGACACTCTAATAAAAGGTAACTGTTGTGGTTTTTGATTTTCGGCCAATCCTCATGTTGTAGATACATTGGGTTGCACAACTATACCAAACCATCGTTGTTTGTGATGGATCCCCAATTGATTAAACAGATTCTGGTGAAGGAGTTTGAAACCTTCCCCGAACACCTACAATTTATTCCTACCGATGTTGATCCATTATGGAATAACAATTTATTTGCCATGCCAGGTAAGGCTTTTGCTCTTGCGTTATCAGTAGGGCACGGTTTTCAGGTGGTGAAAAATGGCACCAGCTGAGATCAATTCTAAGCCCGGCGTTTACCAGTAGCAAATTGAAGGCTATGTTTATTTTAATGAAAGAGTGCTGTAACGGTTTTGTGACTTACTACAAAAGTAAAGGTGGGGAAGTAGATGTTGACGTTAAAGAGACATTTACGCGATTTGGAAATGACTTAATTGCATCAACCGCGTTTGGAATTACCTGCAACTCACTGACCGAGCCGAAAAATGAATTCTATGTCCTAGCCAAGGATCTTGTATTTTTGAGTGCATTTAGACGACTAACCATCCTTATAAATATAATATCCCCAACGATTGCAAAGGTTAGCATCTCCGTAACTTTGTGCATTTGAGTGCTCTTGAATTTTCCAGATTGGAAGATTCCCTTTCTTCCCAAAGAAAACTAAGGATTTCTTTACGAGACTCGTCAAAGACACTCTCCAAACACGAAGAGAGAAGAACATTATCCGTCATGACATGCTTCACCTATTAATGGAGTTCCAAAAGGACAACCATACATATCAGGACGATGCGCACGATATGCCCGAAATGGGTTATGCGCCAGTCGAAGACACAAACTTCGGAAAAACACAACGAACAATAAAGCTTGAGATTACCGACGACATTATAACCTCTCAGGTTATGATTTTCTTCTTTGCCGGTTTCGAGACTGTATCTACGATGATGAGTTACACCATTTATGAATTAGCGCTTAATTCCGATATCCAAGACAGATTGCGGAACGAAGTTGACGCCGCTTTTAAATCAGGCAATGGAGAGCTAACGTACGATAAACTAATGGAGTTGAAATATTTGGACATGGTTATCTTAGGTGAGTTGTGCCTTCGCGCGTGCTTGGTGTGACGTAACCAATAAGCATTTTAAGAGTCCTTGAGAAAATGGCCACCTTTTATATTACTCGACAGAAGTTCTGTTCGCCCTTACACGATTGAACCGAATGAACCAACCGAATCGCCGCTTCTTCTCGAGAAGGATATTAGTGTCATTTTTCCAATTTTCTCCATACAAAGAGATCCTAAGTACTTTCCCAACCCCGATAAGTTTGATCCGGAAAGGTTCAGTGAGGAAAATCGGAACAATATTATACCGTACACCTACATTCCTTTCGGCGCCGGTCCTAGAAACTGCATTGGTAATAACTTCAAATTTATCTTATTAGGTGTTTCATTAATCTCCAATTCCAGGGTCACGTTTCGCGTTATTGGAAGGTAAACTGATTGTAGCGGAAATTGTGCGAAATTTCGAAATTGTTCGCATTGAAAAAACACAAGTTCCAATCATTTACAGCAAAACGATTTTTAACCCTCTGCCAGATGATGGAATTTGGGTGGGACTGCAACAGCGAAAGTTCGAGTGAACTCGTCGTATGTTGTGGAAATATTGGGCGATTCATTACATCCAGATCAGCGACAAAGCACATTAGGAAATGTTGTATTACATTATGTGATTCTTTTTTTTAGATATTAGCACAGATTAACTACATTGCAGTGTACCTAATCTGTGGCAATACTAAAGGAGAATATAGAAAATGACTTCTATTTTCTTGCATGGACGTTTGTAGATAATATGTACCTACGAAGTCGACAGTATGCAAGTATTACAGTGATACCTATGATATTGATAGGAGGTAAGCTGAGCCACCATGGCCTAATACGTTATATACTCTTTGCTAATATTGAACAATGGAGCTACTTATTACGCTTTCAATACAGTTACCTACTTTATGGAAAACAGTGGCGATAATATGAGCTAATAAAGCGCTGTCAAGTCGCCATGTTGCATCGAATAAATTTACAATATACAAAATCAATGGTAGCCGAAGGGCATACGGCCGTAGATTTCGGCGTCGGGCAAAGCTTCGGTAAAATGTCGGTATAAGTATGGTGTCACACTATGCGTTTTTACCGCTCCCGCTAAAACGGATGCGGTTTGACGGGATGAGAATATCACAAGTTATTAAATGGTACCAGTCACATCACACATATATGCGGTTTCGCCGCACCCGGATTCAACCGCATCATATATGCTGCCATTTTAGCGGGAGCCAGAGCCGGACTGGGTGGGTAAGGGCCCCGGGCGCTCCATGACCTAAAGGCCCCCAAACTCATCCCCCCCCCCCCCCCCGAAAAAGAAGACAAGGGATTTGCAGATTTTTAAATTGTATTTCAAACGGCATTTTCTCAAAATTGATTTGGGAACGAACTTGGAACTCAAATATTACAAACTGTACCGTTGAAAAGCTCAAACTATAATAAAACTCTGAACAATTTTTGAGCTCATACTTGTCCTGCCCCCTTCAGGAACGTCCATCTGCCTCCTCAAAAGAAGTTGCAGCACAGCTGAATGTGCCGCCTCATGAAGTTGTCTAGAGAACTCTTAAAAAACTCAAATATCGGCCTTAGGCAATTAATATTTCTCAGTTTCATCCAGGAGACCATGAACGACACGGGTACCTATAGCCATTAGTACGTTTTGTAAATAATCAGATTCGGGAAAACGCAAGTTTCCTTATCCTTAATAACGCGATATGGTATGATGAGAGTAAATGCAGCAATGTTTAATCGCCACAATGAACATTACTCGTCAATTGAAAATTCTCAGCAATTTCAAAATCGGCGACCACAAATGCATTTTAGCCTTGGCGCATGGGGCGGTTGATTGGTCCGTTGGTTCGTTGGAGTATTTTTTTGTGAGAGATAATGGAAAAAGGCAATTACAAAACATTGCCAGCCGATTTTGATGAACTTCGTCAAAGAAGCGTTACCATGCTCAGGCACAATATTAGGAGGGATGGTTCAAGAGCCATAGCAAATCTTAGGAAAAGAGTGGTACTGTGCTTAGAATTAGGAGGTGGGCTATTGGAATACATGTTATATGTTACATTCGTTAAATATTGTTTATTCTTATGTATTTTGTTTTAATTTGAATTATATATTCTTGCAAATCTTACAGTTCCTTGCCAACACCTCAACCAGACAAATGGATCAAAAAAACTTTTGTACATCACAACAAAAGAACGTTTTGTTTTTCTAAGCATCGTCCCCCATATAGTGGCACTCGAAAAATGGACACCCTGTATAACAGCAGGCTACGTGAAGTTGGCTGAGATACTTAATGGTTTTAGGCATATATGGTTTTTATAGGTAGATCCACCTAGACGTGTTTAGCCGCGAGCCGAAAAGGATTTTTGAAATAGGTAACTTACTTTCTATTGGAACCAACATTTCAGTCCAACAGCCCTAAAAGGTGCATAAGTAGCGCCAAGTTTCTGCGTAAGACAAAAATCATTTATGAAAAAGTCGGCGGTTTCGTGAAATTAGCAGGGATAATGCGAGCGATAGTTGTTTTTGCAATAAAATCGCCCATTTTCTACAACGGCGCAAAATTTTTAGCGTAATACAACGATGTTGCGGTAACGCTTATATGCTCAATTTTCGGTCGTCTGTCGTTTGTCTGTCTGTCGTCTGTCTGTTCCTTCGGGATTACGGGCCCTGGGCCACCTACTAGATACCTACTTCGAGTTTTCACTAATTGATAGCTGCTATAGTGATATACCTAGGCTATATTTGCCCGTTACTCATCATTTACAGTTGTGTTATGCGGCAACCCGCAACACCAACGAGTGGGTTTTGAAAAATTTTGATATACATGTCCCAAATTGGTACCTACAAACTTGGCGCTCTCGCAAATGACATATATCTTCACACACCTTAAAACATGGAACCCAAACGTCTAAAATTGCATAATATTCTTGGAGCAAAATGCCCGGGTGCGAATTTTTCCTGTGAAAATTATCGGGGAGACCAGGTACGGGTTTTTAATGAATGTACAAAGTCAGCGGATTAGACGGTTAGTTCCAGAAGTTCGTAAACATGCCAATGCATCGAAATAAATACAGGCGTCGTAATGTGTCTCCCTCTTGGGTTGTGCACGCGCAAGAAACTTGTATAAATAGATTTCCGTAACCGAATATCAATTCCTTTATTACCGACTAAAAGTTGTGTATAATTTGACATCTGTTTCAAAATGGCTGGGTAGATTGAAGATTATTGTGAGGATTGTGCGGGTTGGAATTTTGTAGGTGTGTCACTACGTCTATCGAACTATAATGCCGTTTATTGTAAATAATATTAGCGTTAAAATGTGTACGTGTCGGCCGTTAAACGAGTGCGAATGTTCTATAGGACGGTTTAGTTAATTAACAACGGTGTAGTTAAGGGTTAGAATTGATTCCGCTTAAGTCTATGTAATTTATATTCAAGTTAGAGTGTGATAGTAAATTAGCAAACATGTGGAACATGATGTGTGATGTTATGCCGACAATTTCGGAGGACAGCATTAGCCAGAGAAGTTCGCAATTCTCTGGTGAAGATGCTAACTTCGAACAACTGATGGTTTCGATGTTGGACGAAAGGGACAAACTGATGGATAGTTTACGTGAGACACAAGAACGTCTTTCAGATACTGAATTAAAGTTAGCAGATGTGGAGAAAGAGCGGGATTCGCTTCAGAGACAGATCGCCGCCAACCTCCCCCAGGTAAGTAAAGTGACATCCGCGCATCGAGCGATTTCACAGCACACTCTGTGTGTCGCGACTTCGGTCGCTCTGGTTGTATGATATACCCGATTTGGAGCTTTATTGATTCCCCCCCGGCAAAACTTCAACGCCATTTTAACAACGAAACTTCGCTTTTATATTTAATATCGGCACAATTAAAATGTTACCCTTTTAAAAAAGTGTTTTCCCTTTAACTAGATAAATGTCATCAATGGTTCGTCACTCCGCCCACAATACCCTGCCCTTGCCCTTACTCCGTCCTCGTGTTTGAGCGGTTGTAACCTAGATTTTACAAATGATAAATTCAATCATAATTTGCGCACTTTAATAGCAATTCCTTTCTTCAAACAGGAAGATAGCGTCTACGAATAATAATTGTCTTCTTTGATATCTTACATATATTCCTCGATATATTCTTTATTTTTTTACGTTTTTTTACTTCACTTCCGTCTAATTTTGTAGTCAAAAATTGCATGCGAACGGATTCATCACGAAATTCACGATTGCAGAACTGGTGAATTCTTGTTTACTGTTTGTTCATTGTTATGATGTACAGGGTATGCTGGAAGATATGTACCGAACATGAATCGACCCCGACACCGACCCTTTTTCAATTCTTCACGAAAATTCTGTATATACAAGAGTTTTCAAGGTGGTTTTTAGTGGTGGATTTATACCTCGGTTTATACCCAAGTTTATAGAAACATCGCTAATTCACGAGGTATCATCAACAAGTATCATTGTGCACAACTCTTTGCAGATAGAGCCCATTTTTTAAACCGAATTAGCCTGGGAATTAGCTTAGTAAATAGTTGGGCTCGTAGTTGGGTTATAAGCATAGAATTACAGTAGTCTCCTCCGACCTCGCCTCCGACATTGCGTTCTGCAGATATTTGCACTGAAAGTTTTGACATCACCAGCAGATGTCTCGTCCAGACGTTCTACTTGCCCTTTATCTCGCCCTTTATGAATACCTCTTCCAATACTTCGATTTTAAAATATTAACTTCGACTTCGCCATTAAATATGTCTCGTCCAGACGATTCATTTTGCCTTTGTACTCCCATTCCACAAACCGTTTTCGAGATATTCGTTAAAATGTTACCATAACCAATGAATACATTTCTTTCTGGCGTCCCAATCGCCCTTTGTGAGTATCCTTTTGGACGATCCGCTCTTCTCTTGGAATATAAGGAATTATAACCGATCACGATAAGGGGTCGAGGAGAAGGATTATGATTGGTAGAAAGCAATTCGCTTCAATGAGACCTTTAATTAGAATACCATGATAATGGCCGTCTGGCACACCTTCAAGGTATAAGCTACCTATTGCAAAAAATTCTAGGACTCTAGGGACATTCCCCTACAAGTACTTAGTTCAAAACCGTTAGAGGGTCCAGCTCCAGACAGACGGGCGGACAAAACCGCTGGAAAATGCCCTAAAAATCATTTACATGGATGTCACGAGAATCGCGTAATATTTTCTGTTGATTTTGTGGATTTCGTGAAGATCAGTTGCAATTTTTCCATATCATTCAAGTCGATAGACGTATAGTACTTAAGTTGTATGATTTCTTGTAGTAGTCTATCGTTTATAACCTCGTTCACTTGCTCGCCTATAATTTAAAATGCGTATAGGTATTTGACCCTAATAAATATAATATATACAGGGTGACAATTTGAAAACTTACCACCCCCCATATCTTAGTAAATAAACAAGATATTTAAAAAAATCAAAATCCGTTTCGGTAATTCGGAGGGGGAATCACAATAACACAGTTGGCGACGCACCCCCTCACCCCCCGCGCCCCAGCCACCCCAACTTTTAAATCTTAAATAGTGACCCTCCATGTGTGATACGTCGTTGGAAAGCTCTGAAAAAATGCTTTCCAACCATACCAACTAGCATTACATTTAGGTTAGTAATTATCGTGCAAACCAAAAAATAGACTAATACTCGGACTAATATGAATATCTCGATGAATATTTTCTAAAGGCTTTTATTTCAAAAAATGTTCAAAATGGTTTCCGTTATTTGTAAGACCGTATTACTATGCGATCAAAAATGAGTTGCTGTCGAGTCGCCCTTTCAAAGTTTTGTTTACATGGAAAATCGTATTTT